GTGAAGTCGGCCGGCGAGGCGGACCAGGCGGCCGCCGAGTCGCACTCGCCGCCGCCCGCCGCCAGCCCCGCGCGCAAGACGCCGCGGCCGCCGGCCGCAGCCTCTGCCACGTCCGCTGGCGTCGCCGCCTCCTCCTCCGCCGCCGCTTCCTCCCCCTCCGCCGCCGCCGCCGCCGTCCCCGCGTCTGCAGCCGTCCCCAGCGAGCCGCCGAGCGGAGCGGCGGCGCCGCCCACCGGCGACAGCTCGCCCAAGAAGTCGTCGCCGATCATGGAGGGTCTGGCGCGTAACGGGCTGGTGTCGGTGCCGTGCGCCGGCGGCGTGGGCGACGCACGCATGGTCACCATCCGACGGGTGATGGAGCCGGGCGGCAAGGAGCCCAAGGTGACCATCACGCTCAAGGGCGACTCGCCGGAGAAGGACCGCGTGCTCATGACGCTGGTCAACGGCCAGCTGAAGAACGGCGGCGCCGAGCCGGCCGCCGCCGAGCCGGTCATGACGAAGACGGCCAAGAAGAAGCTGAAGAAGGCGGCGCGCCTGCAGAAGCTAAAGGAAGAGGAGGAGGCGGCCGAGCGGGCACGGCTGGCGGCGGCGTGGGCGGCCGAGCAGGAGCAGCAGCGACTCCAGCAGCTGCAGCAGGCCAAAGGCAAGAAGAAGAAGAAGAAGGTCGGCGCCACCAACGGTGCCCAGACTGCCGAGAAACCGGCCCAGCCCGCCAAGAGGGCGTCGCCGATCCTGCTGAACGGCAAGGACGCCGACAAGTGGCGGCCGCTGCCGCAGAAGAAGGCTGGCGGCGCTGAGCGGCCGACGGCGCCGGCTGCGCGCTGTCAGCCCGAGCCCGAGACCAGGAAGCAGCAGGCCGCGACGCGGCTCTCCAAGAAGGCGGCAGCGGCGGCGGAGAGGGGCGCGGGCGAGCCGCAGCCGGCGGCCGAGCCGCGCCGCCGCAAGGCGACCGCCGACCATCGGCTCGAGCCGCCCACTCAGCTCATGCAGGACCTGGCGCTGTCGTCGTCGGACAGCGAGATGGAGGACCTGGCGCGCGCCTACCGCATCCCGGCCGGCATCACCATCAGCAGGGTGCGCGGTGGCGCCGAGCCGCCGGCCGACTCCGGCCGGCTCTCGCCGCCGCCGGCCGCCGCGCCGGCCGCCGACAAGAAGGCCAAGAAGAAGCGCAAGAAGAAGGCGGCGCCGGCGGCGGCTGACGAGGCGCCGGCCGTGCCTGAGGTGACGATCCGGAAGGTGGCGGGCAGCGGGCCGGGCCGGCGCGCCGCACGCTCCGTGGACGACTACGAGTCTGTGTTCATGCCGGCGGCCGGCGGCGACACCATTACCGATCTGGTCGATAAGGAGGTAGAGGCGTTCAAGCGGTTCTGCCTGGACGGACCGCAGGTCAGCCGCGAACATCGGCCCAAGGTCAACTTCAACATCAAGGACATACTGATCAAGAAGAAGCCATTGTAAAGCATGGTTGTGATACACTGTCAGTACTGCTCTTACTTTGTACTAGTCTTAGGAATCGTCTGCCTTGTAACTTCTTTTAATACTTTGTTACAAGTAGATCTTGCGTTCTCGATTAATTTAAGTCTTGACTCCGGTTGTCAGCCGTGCCTGAAGTGTTGGCTGGCTGGCCGGTGGAGCTCCCCAATATTAATAGAGATCGCTCAGACGAGGTTTGGTCTGTCTCCCGTCTCCAGGCCCAGGCGCTGAGAGTAGGTGAGCCGATGGTTCGTCTGGACGGTAGACGAGTTACTGCATGACCAGAGAATCTTGAATCCCCACGTGCGCCGGCAGCGAGCTTGACTTCGTGCAGCCCTGACACGATCCTGGCGGACAAGCACACGGAATCCTGGCGGATGATCACACGGAACCCTGGCGGATGATCACACGGAATCCTGGCGGACGATCACACGGAATCCTGGAGGACGATTACACGGAACCCTGGCGGACGATCGCGTGGAATCCTGGCGGACGCTCACGCGGAATCCTGGCGGACGATCACACGGAACCCTGGCGGACAATCACACGGAATCCTGACGGACGATCACACGGAATCCTGGTGGATGATCACACGGAACCCTGGCGGACGATCACACGGAATCCTGACGGACGATCAGACGGAATCCTGGCGGACGATCACACGGAACCCTGGCGGGCGATCACACGGAATCCTGGCGGATAGTCACACGGAATCCTGGCGGACGATCACACGGAATCCTGACGGACAATCACGGAACCCTGGTTGACGATCATCGCCCGGAATCATGGAGGATGATCACACGGAACCTTGGCGGACGATCACACGGAACCCTGGCGGATGATCACACTGAGTGTCCGCGCCGCGAACGCTGGTGTTCCGCCGTAGCGTCCGCGTCCGGGCAGGGGGCAGGCGCGGGAGGCAACGCACAGCGCTCCATACTGGGAGCGCTTGTAGGGGCCTGGTCCGAAGTCACACATCGGGCCGAGACGCGGCTCGGGAGCGCTCGTAGGGGCCTGGTCCGAAGTCACACATCGGGCCGAGACACGGCTCGGGAACGCTCGTAGAGGCCTGGTCCGAAGTCACACATCGGGCCGAGACGCGGCTCGGTAGCGCTCGCTGGGCCTTAATCTTCAATCACTCACCTCGGGTCGAGACGCGACCCGGGAGTGCTCGAAGGGCTTTGGTATTCAGCCACATATCGAGTCGACACGAGGCTCGGGAGCCCTCGTAGGGCCGCAGCCTGAAGTCACATCGGGCCGAGGCGCGGCTTGGGAAGCGGCAGAGGACGGCGGCGCGGCGTGTGCAGAAGTCGGGGTCTGTTTACCACGCGGACTTGTGCTGAACTCCAGCGGAATCCGATCCGATGACCGATTTCCGCTTTGGCCAGGCGGATTTGGCCCCATTGGCTGCTCGGCTGGACCAGATTCAGAATCGATCCACAGTTTGCGACCGAAGCAGGATGGGTCTGATTCCGCTTGAAAGTAACTGGTTCCAGGATAGTTCAACGACAAGCTCTGGGGGTGATTGCGCGGTGGCGTGACCCTGCAAGGTTGCTACCCAGTAAGTACTTGAACGTAAATTGCACTGCGGAATTTATGAATTATTTGCCCAGTTGATGCTGATGCAGGAGTAAGGATGGAGGGTCGGTGGGTGCCGAGACCACAATATATCGAATTTGGAAAACAGGTTAACTTGTTCATATTGTCCATATCGTTAACTGGTCCACTAGCTAACTTGTTCATTTGCGTGCTTCACTACTGCGTACCAATCGTGGATACCAAGACATTGCTTCATTTTGGTTCTCGCTAACCGTGCTGTGTTGTTCCGTCCACCGCAATCAGTCGGAGCACGGCCCTATCCGTGGAAGCACATCTATCCTCCCTCACGGGTTCCATTTGCATATGTGCCTGCATGATAACTTGACACCTACCTTGTTTTCAGCAATAAAACAGGGCACGGATTCGGAATCAAATTTTAAAAAGGATCAACTTCGTCAGCAATTCGGATTCAAATCCAACTTCCAAGTTGATTTGAACTTTATTCGGATTCGGGCCCATTCGTTTTGCCTCGGATTCGGAATCGAATCGAAATCGGACTCAATCGCGCCTGATCCTGCCCAAGTTGGATCGAGCATGAGTCTGGTGCCTGATCCTGCCCAAGTCGAATTGAGCATAAGTCTGGCGCCTGATTCTGCCCAAGTCGGATCGAGCACGAGTCTGGGGCCTGATCCTGCCCAAGTCTGATCGAGCATGAGTCTGGCGCTTGATCCTGCCCAAGTCTGATCAAGCACGAGTCTGGCGCCTGCTCCTGCCCAAGTCGGATCAAGCACGAGTCTGGCACCTGATCTTGCCCAAGTCTGATCAAGCACGAGTCTGGCGCCTGATCCTGCCCAAGTCGGATCAAGCACGAGTCTGGCGCCTGATCTTGCCCAAGTCTGATCAAGCACGAGTCTGGCGCCTGATCCTGCCCAAGTCGGATCAAGCACGAGTCTGGTGCCTGATCCTGCCCAAGTCGGATCAAGCACGAGTCTGGCGCCTGATCTTGCCCAAGTCGGATCAATCACGAGTCTGGCGCCTGATCTGCCCAAGTGGGATCAAGCACGAGTCTGGCGCCTGATCCTGCCCAAGTCGGATCAAGCACGGGTCTGGCGCTCAGCGCCTGGCACACAGAATCTCACAAGCATGCATGCGTGTTGAGGTACGAAATACGTCTGTCCGGTCAGCCCGGTCCGAGTGGCGTGACCCTGGAGACACTGGAGGATTGGTCGATATAGAGGTTCAGGTAGATTTAGGAGTCCACGGATTCCGCTGAGATCCAGGGCCCTGACCTAAATTCACAGTTGATTACTTCCATCGTTATTGCCATTGGCCGAACATTGGCATCTCGACAATGCCAACGTGCCGATTACGAAAGCCAGCGTTCTGACATCAAATCCTGCATGCGTTCCTCAATGTTCCTCAATGCGTTATTAGTACGAGCCATGCGACTTGCAGAAGGCTGCTGCGCATCTCGAGCCATCTGGACTCCCCTAAACTTTCAATACGGGGCCCCAATGTCCACCGACGGGCCAAATACGCTTCGACTTTCATACTTCGCGCGTGCTGGCCCACGTGGTCACATACCTACACGGTCACATGTCCACATGACCCTAGGTCCACATTTGGCCGACATGCTCGACTCGTGGATGGCCGCATGCACGGCGACCCCGACCGGGGCCAAATTAAGACTGAACACAGCCTGACAAGCCAGATAAAATGCGGGCTTTGTCAACTACAACTACAAAAACAAAACAACTTTCGGAGAAGGTAACGACGTGACGCCGCTTACGTGGGACCGCGAAGCCTCTGAATACGCACGGCCACATCGAAAGCAAAACCTGTGCTTTCCTAGAGATAACCAAGGCGTCATTAGCATAAGAAGGCAAACAAGGCGGCCTTACAGGAGGGCGGTCTTCCTTCGCGGTCAAGCAAGGCGAAAGAACTCATGCGACTGGGGATGCTTAAGCCGATCACGGAAAAAACCGAGCTTCAAAATCTTTGTCAGTCTCAGTCTCAATTTATTTGTCTGAATAGTCTCACCCAGTAACTGGCGACAAAACAATCATCTTAACACCGTCGTTGCGATACGTACAAGTTTGAACTGGTTGAACAGACATAAAAATACAATGGGAGCAGTCCGAGTCATCACATTCGTACACAATTTCACACTGAAAACGGTATTAATCGCGTAATCCCAGCAGTTCAATTTGACACGGAGACAGCGCAACCCAGTCGCTCCAGCACCGCACGGCGGGCTCGTCGGAAGATTACAATACGCTGCGCACGCAAGAGACATCGGCAGAGGCCTCCCACGGACAGCACGTCCTCGGCACGCACACCAGCTCACTTGTCACGCTAAAACCCAAGGGCCTGGCAGATCACAGAACCTTATCACAGATGGCGTGGCAGTTCAGAAGCTGCTCTCATTAACGGGAGGGGGCTAAACAAGCTCGGCGACAAATGCGCGTGAACGATTGCGGGGAGACTGCGTCGCCAGGCCCTTGGTGTAGTCAGCGCCCCCCGGACGCCGGCCGGCCGGGCGTCCGTCCGGCACTGGTGGCCCGCACGGCGGCGCGCGCGCGGAATGACTGGTATTTGTACGCGTGGCGCCGGCGCGGCCCTCTCTGCCGCGGCCCGGTCCGATCGGCCGTCCGGCTCGCTCGCTCGCTCGCTCGCTCGCTCCACTCTCACTCACACGCAATCGCACGGCCAGCCCCGCCGCGGCATCACTTTTTCGTGCGCCGCTTGGCAGTCCGGATCCGCCGGCCGGCCGGGACGCCGGTACCCGACACCACGAATGGGTTGGCCGCCCTGGGGACAGAGGGTGCGCTGAGAGACCGCACGGCCAACGCTCTACTGCCCGGTTACTGAGTACAAGGGACAACGGCATGACCAACAGAACAAAACACAAACATGCGTACCAAGTGATCATAAAATATCACAGTGAAGTGGGGTAATATGGTGGCGTTCGAAAGGCAAATGATCACCACGCACACATCCCGTTGCCAGCACACACAGCCCACAACAGAAAAGTTGACTCACTGTGCGGGGTTCGTCGCTCCGAATGCCGGCGCAGCTGGCCCGGCAGGCGCAGCTGACGGCTGTCGACGGAAGACACATGGTCAGCACGCCACAGTGACACTGCTGCCATACGGCCTCCATAATGTCGATGGCATTCTTTGGACAACATCATGATGACGTTGATTTCGGCTTTGGACGCACCGACTTCAATGGTCACATGGCGCCCATACGACGGGCTACCGAAAAATAAAATAAATCTGAATAACACCAACCACAAAGCACGACCAGAGCCGCAGGCGGGGATGAACCGGTCTCCGACGCAGCTGCTCACCGTTCCGAAGCGGAAGACGCCAGGTGTAGCGGACGCGGCGGCCGACGCCTCCTGCTGCGGCGGCTGTTGCTGTCCGCTGCCGAAGTTGAAGACCGGGGCGGCGCCCGCTCCGGCGCCAAACGCGAAGCCGGCCGACGGCGCCACCGGCGCCGCCGCCTGACCGAACGCGGGCGCGCTGCCGAATGGCGGGGCTGCCACCGTCGCCGCCGGGGTCGGCGCTGAACTGAACGGGCCCGCCGCCGCCGCCGCCGCCGCCGCCGGAGCGGTCGAACCCGCGCCGAACGCGAACACGCCGGACGTGGACGGGAGCCGCCGACGGCGCCCCGAACGCGAACGCTCCCGACGCCTTATTGGCGGCCGTCGCCGGCTGCGTGCCGAAAGTGAACACGCCCGGCGCCGACGTGGTGGCTGCAGCCGCCGGAGCGCCAAATGAGAACGTCCCCGGTTCGGCCGGCGCCTTGGCGCCGAAAACGAACGGCGCGGCGGGAGCGGCCGCCGGCGCGGCGCCGCCAGAGGCGAACGGGCTGGCGGCGGCGGTGCCGGCGGCGGCCGGGCCGGAGCCGAACTGAAACACGGCCGACGCCGGCGCGCCGTCTGCAGTGGCCGCCTTCTTAGCCGAGGGCCCGTTCACGCTGGTGGCACCGAACGTGAACAGAGCGCTCGACTCTGTCTTGTTAGTGGTCGCCGCGCCGAACGCGAAGCCGCCGGCTGGCACAGACGGCGGCGCCGCCGGGAATCCCGCGGAGCTGGCGGCGCCGGCGGCCGCGGTGCTGAACGCGAAGCCGCCGGAGGGCGCAGCAGCTGTGCTCGCCGCCGTTGTGCCGCCGCCGAAGGAGAAACCTTTGGCCGGCTTCGCGGCCGGTGTGGAAGAACTGCCGAAGGAGAACGTCGCCGCCGGGTTGCCTGATTTTCCCGACGCGTCGCCGAACGACAACAGACCAGGGGGTTTTTCCGAGCCTTCAGGGGCCTTCGCTCCGAACGAAAATGATCCAGTAGGCTTTTCAACGGTCGCGGAAGGGTTCGCGCTCGCAGAAAAGATGTCGGTGTGTTTAACTGAGCTATCAGACACTTTTGCTCCCAACACAAACCCTCCGGAATTTTGGTCTACGCTTGCTGACGGCTTCATACCGCCGGGCACCCCATCAGCGACATTGGCGCAGGTCTCAGCGGGTTTAGCACCGAAAGAGAATCCCGCGGCTGACTTGTCTGCTCCTGCAGCCGTCTTCGCACCGAATGGCGATCCTTCCGCGACATTGTCCGACGCCACAGACGTCTTCGCTCCGAACGAGAACCCACCCGACGGCTTCTCGGCGGTTTCCGACGCTTTCGCACCGAACATGAATGCCGGCGCACTCTTGTCAGACGCCGGCGGCGCCCCCGACGATGACTTATCGGCCGACGACGTGCCGCTGCCGAAGCTGAAACCCGGCGTCGGCGCGGAGCCGCCGCTACTCCCCTGCGATCCAGCGCCGAATGCGAACGTCGTCGCCGCGCCAGAATCCTTGGCGGCTGAGGTCGCGCCAAAACTGAACACGCCGTTCGCCGGCGACACCGACGGCACTTTGTTGATCTTGGGTTCCTCCGCGGCGACGGTGCTCGGCGTTGGCGCCTTGTCCCCGCCCACACCCGGGGAGCTCTTGCCCAGCACGTCCATGATGCTGCCGGTATTCAGTTCGGGCGCCGCCTTATCGGCCGGCCTGTCCGCGGCCGCCGACCTGCGCTTGAGGGGCCGGGGCGAGCCCGGAGAGCCGGCGTTGAAGTTGACGGCGGGTGTCGGCCGGGCTGCCGGGGCCGCGTCCTCGGCGCTCTCCTGGCCGCCGGTGCTGGCCGGCGCGCCGAACCCGAACGAGAAGCCGGCAGAGGCAGGCGCGGCAGGCGGGGTCACCCCGAACCTGAAGCCGTCGCTTTCCGACGAGGGCGTCGATTTGGTCGTCGGCGCCTTCTGGCTGTCGCCGAATCCGAACACGAAGGCGCCGGCGGCCGGTGGTTGCGCCGACTTGAACTGATACGGTTCGCTGTTCTGGGCGCGGGCCTCCGGCCGGGGAGAGTCGCAGGCCGCGCACTTCGAGACGGCTGGCTTGTTGCGCACCAGACATGTCGTGCATTCCCACGTCTCCTGCGCTGGCTTGGACGCGGCGGCGGGGCTCGCGTTGGCCGACGCCGCCTTAGGGTTCGGCGTCTGGCACGCGACGCACTTCGAGGAGTCCGGCTTGTTCGTCACCATGCATGTGTCGCACGTCCACTCGCCGGCGACCGGTTTGAACTTGTCGCCCCAAGACGACGCCGGCGTGATGGTCGTCGCCGCCGGTGCTGGGGCCGCGGCTGAACTGGACAGAGCGGCCTTGGAGTTCGGAGTTTCGCAGGCGACACAGTTGGCCGAGTCCGGGTTATTTTTCAGCATGCACGTGTCGCACGTCCATTCGCCGGGGACGGGCTTGAACTTGTCGCCCCAAGAGGCCGCCGGCGCCGCCGAGGACGTCTCGGGCGCCGGCGCGCTGGCTACACTCGGCTTGGCAGCCGCTGCGTTTGGCGTCTGACACGCCACGCACTTGGTCGCGTCCGGCTTGTTGGTGATCATACAGACATCACAGGTCCACGCGCCGGCGGCCGGCTTGAACTTGTCACCCCAAGAGCTGGCGGCGGCGGCGGCGGGCGGACTCGGCGCGGCGGTGGCGGCGGGCGGGTCCGTCGTGGTACCGGCACCGCCGGTCCTGGCCGCCTGACAGGCGATACATCGGTCGGCGCCGGCCTTGTTCTGGAGCATGCATACGGCGCACTCCCAGGCGCCGGGCGCGGCGCGGAACTTGTCGCCCCAGGAGCCGGCGCCGGCCAGGGTCGGGGTGGCGGTCGGGGTCAGCACCTGCCCCGGCGCGTCCAAGGCTGCCGGCACGCTGAACGCGAACGTCAGGTCGTCGGCGCCGTCGGCCAGGCCGTTCACGAGGCCGGCGCCGGGCGGGCACACCGGCCGCGGACTGCTGAAGATGAAGTCGGTGGAGACGGCGGCGGCGGCGGCAGCGGCCGGCCGTTTAGCGGGCTCGGCCGGCGGCGGTTTGGGCGTGGACGTGGACAGGCTGAAGGGCCGCAGGCTAGTGAAAGGTAAGCTGACGTCGGGCAGCGCCACCGGCGACGGCGGCAGCTCGCCCGGGTCGGCACCCGGACGCGACGAGTAATGGCGCGACTCCTTCTGACGTCGCATCTTGCCGCCCTGCGCGGGCGCCGCCACCGGCGTCGGCTGACTAGAGAACGTCACCCGTCTGCAGCATAAGAGGGCCGTGTCACTCGGATGGTGCACAGCCGCAGGTCGATTGGCGGTAATAAGACATCAAACTACTTCAACATGAAGTAACGAAAGCCGAATATAGATATGAATCGAGGCAGAGGCCTGATTTTCTCACAGGGTACGCACGGCACCAGAACTGGGCATTTATACCGACAGCATGCACTGCATCCAGGAAACATTTTCAAGACGGAAGATAGGTGACTGGAATAGAAGTGCACGTGCGTTTCCAATTAACACGAAAAGACGAGGAATGCGAAAAGTTGAAACCCGCCACTGAAACGCACTGCTGACATCAGATCCCTAGCGGAAAGAGCTCGCGTCCAGCAAGCATAGCGACGGTGCGAATGGCTCGTCTGTCAGAGAGCGGGTGCCGGGCCGCCGCTAGCCATCGGTGGTCCCACCTGGCGGCCGCGTCCTCCGTGGCGTGCTGCGCGGCGGCCGGGACGGCGCCGGGCGACGGGCGCCGCCGGTTCGGCTCCACCGTCACACGGGCCGGCGACACCACCCGGTGCACGGGCGGGTTGTCCGGACGGGGTCGGCCCAGCCTGCGGCGACGGGCGCGCGCGCGCCGTCAGACATCGGCGAGCGGCACGGCGACCGGCGGCCGGCCTCCGACGCGCGCGACCCACCGACAGATGGCGCCAACGGAACGGCAGCGGCGCGGCGCGGGTCTCCCGCTAACGCGGAGCCAACATGACACAGCGGGTAGTCCTCCACGGACCACACGAAACAGCGAGACAAAACAGCGGCTAAATGCTGATGACCTCGCATGAAGGCACATCGACTGCTTGGCCACCAAGCAACCGAATCTATGACATAGTAGTAACCGCAACGCGTCAACAAAGACGACTCGAAACGACATCACAAACAACATGACACACACAAAAATAGGACCTAAACATCACACTCGCCATAAACCCGCTAGGACAGTTTACGGCACATACCAGTGAGCCACAATAATCGCCGGCCGTTTCTGCCGGCGGCCCGTGTACCACCGTGCCACACCAGTCAGCGGCGTGTCAGTGTCGGCCGTCAAGTTCGCGCGCCGTCGTCAGCCGGGCGGGCTGTGTGCAGCGTACCTGGCGCCGTGCGCCCCGTACAGGCCGGCGCGTCGCTGGCTGCCGAAGCTGGCGTCCAGCAGCTGGGGGCCGGCCGCCGGCGGCGCGCGGCGGGCGTCCGTCACCGGCGTCGACATGCCCTCCAGCACGGACAGGATGCGCCGCGCCGTCGTCGACATGGTCAGCTCGTCGTCGCCATCGGCGGCGCGCACGGGCACGGCGCGTGGACGCACCTGCGCGGTGGAGGGCGGCGTGGTCAGCGGCACGGCCCGGCGATGACGGCATACCACCAGCCGCGGACCAGCCTACGCCGTGATGATGGGGGTTTTGGTGTCAACGGCCCCACTGCAGCCACGGAAACGACACTAGTCACTAACAAGAGCAGTAATTAAACACGACATGAAACTATGTGTTCGAATATGGATTCGGAGGATCTGTTGCGTGGATCCTCGAACCTTGAAAACAAAGGTAATTCCCTCACAATCACGACTCCAACCCTAGAAAATTGTAGTCCAATTTGGAAAGCCCGTCCTATGTCCAAATCCTCAAGATGAATTACATCCCCCCGTCCCAAATTTTCTCTACACAGCTAACATGTCACACATGCACACATGCATAACATACCGTCCCGCGTTTTATAATATGCATGCTTCCTCCTTTTTAAGTCGCTTCATTGGCCAGAAACGACAAACGCAGGCTAAAGGTGCGCATTACTTCAAGTTAAAGGGAGTATACCACCTTCCAGACGCATTTCGAAAACATACTCAGGTGAAACCTCAGGACCAGTTACGTCAAAATAATAGCACTGGGTGGTAACCTTGCAGCACCATCAATAATATACGGAGATATGGTGTCATTATTTTCAAATCCAAATTACGCTGTCGCCCTTTCGTAACAGCACTACACTTTTTCCTTTCTTGGTAACCCCAGGGTGTATCCGGAGACCGCAAAAACAGCAGTTGTTGCAACCGCCGTCGTCATGACCGCTGAATCTGCTGAGGGCTGTTGTCCCACGTGCATCGCTTTCCCTTAAAAATATAGAATTTTCATGATCCGGCGCAGTCCAATCCTGCTAGTCCAAATTCAACCCGCCCGCCAACCAGCTTTTCCCAGATTTCTCACTCCAATCCGGTCGTCTTACTCACCAGCAAAATCTACCAAATGAATCCGTGTTCGTCCGCCTCCAAATCAAGGACTTCTTACAATCTCAGCGGCAAATTTTGTTCATCGGGTATCTTAAATTTACGCTATTTTTCAATTTTCACTGAAAAATGTGCTGTTACTGTGAGCCAGTGGGTGCTGACATATTTGACACAGCTGTCGCCTGTTGGTAATGCAATTTTTCATGAAGATCAAATCAAGGTGGTGGTGGTGATTTGGGCTTTGGAGCGCACCGACTACGTTGGTCATATGGCGCCCATTAAATCAAGGCTTCGCCACACTGCTTATCAAATCACAATCATTGGCCAATAATTTACGCATCCTAACACATCGCAGGAGCCTAAATCGCTTATGGTTTCAAGAACATCACGGCATGAGCACATTGCCCAACATTGTCTCGAACTCCAAGTCAGGGCCAGCATACCGACACTTGCCTCTGGGCAGTTTCAAAGGCATCCAGTTCACAACATAAGACGACGCTTATCTAATAAATCCTCTAAAAACTAAAACAACCATCTAACCTCATTATGATACTTCATGTGCGTACCCCTCTTGGACAAGCCAACTGCCGAAATAGACCGCGCCCATTGTTTCCTGCTCGATTACCGGCTGCGTCAAAATCACAATCCACGCACGAGGCTGCCCAATGGTAGATACCTACGGTCCTTTAATCTAGGAGAATGAAACAGTTGTGTCGTTTCTAAACCCCATTGCTGAAACACCAGATACTACCAATTCTCCCTTCACTGCCGATACTGGGGAAAAATACCAAAACTTTTTAATTTGCAATCGTGAATCGCATAGCGGCGTGACGTAGCATATACGTAGCGGAAAATAAATCTTCCCATGTATGTTGACAATAGTAGGTTATGCATCCGTTTTATGCTTCCAACACGCTAAGAAAGAGACCACAAATGTAAGTTGACACCGCGCTTAAGCCGAAGTGCGGAGCGTCTCTCGTGCGCCACCCAGCGGTGACGTCACAGCGGGCCGGCAGTCTGTGATGGTGCTGGAGCAGCCGGCCGCCGGCCCAGTCCCGGAATGTCCGGGACCAGCAGGACCGCACGCCACCGGCGGCACGGGGCACGGCACTGGCGGCCCCATTAGCTTAATCAGGGTAGGGAAGAGCTCACGCTCACAGCACCGCACAGTTCGCCGGCGAACAGCCCCACCTGTTTGAACTTCAGGAGCAGCGGGTTACACGGCGCAGATTTCGGCAGATAATTTGGAAGTCAAATCAGGCTCCTATTGTGTGAGACGGGTGCCCTCCCCTCCACGCCCGCCCCACCCCGCCTGACCCCCACTGTAGCCATCACACTGCCACACCCATTTTTTAGTTAATACAGCTCGCGTTGTGAGGCCTGTTCACCCCTGTTCCCGTGACATGTCTCGTAAGGTCTGCTTCACCGACAGCGTTGAGTGTCTTGGCCAGCTGTCCGTTCCACGTGCTAAAGCTGGCCGCCTGTTCCTCGCGTCACGTGTCCTCGCCGGGCCGGGAGGGCCGGATGGGCGCGCCACATCAAGTGCAAAAGCGGTGACCTGTCGCTTGGGCAGGACGCGCCGAGCCGCCGCCGGTCACCGCCCGGCAGCCGGCAGCGTCGCGCACCCCAGCGGCCAGCTGGCACGGCCGTGTTGTGATATGTCTGCTCTCGCCTCATTCACGCCGCGGGAGACAACAGTCGAAATACAAAGCTGCGGCGGCCCTCGGCGCTGGGGACAGCCGTTAGAGCGGGACTGCGGCAACACTCGGCGCTGGGGACCACTGCAAGGACGGGACTGTTGGCCCGTCATCAGCGCTACGGACTACCGTAAGGGCAGGACTGCGGTGGCCCTCAGCGCTGAGGGCAACCGTAACGACAGAACTGTTGGCCGCCATCAGCGCTGGGGACGGCCGTAAGAGCGGGATTGCGATGACCCCCAGCGCTGAGGACCGCCGCAAGGACGGGACTGTTGGCTGCCCTCAGTACGGAACAAGAGGTCATCGCTGACTTCAGAGCGCAGCTGCTTTGCTTACTAGTACCAACACGGTACCAGTGTTTTGAATTGAGCACGCCTTCGGTTTGGAAGTGATTACGTCCATCAAAGAAAAATGGCGCGCCGTCTGAAGTTCAATGAACCGCAGCTGTTCCGCGTGGCGGGGCGGCCCGTCCGACGCTCGGCGCCGTCGATGGCGGTCGGCTGGCCCGTCGTACCTGGTAGGGGCCGACTGAGGTGGGCGGCGGCACGCGCAGCCGCCGATGGTTGGCCGCACCGCCGTACACCGTCGGGCCTGGGTAGAACGGCGAGACGGCCGCGCCACTCCGGTTCAGCGACGAGTTGGCCGCGTCGTCCTGCCGAGCGAGCACGTTAGCGGCGCCGACACGACACGAGCGCTCGGTTCGTGGCCCAGCACGGTACGACAGTGGATCCGTGTCACATGCCCACCGGTCAACAGCGAGTGCCCATCGTGTCAACTGTCGGAAACTGCGAACAATGCCGAAACATACGAACGCATCGCCACAACGCAGCATACACAGCGGTGGGAACGGCGTGTGACCGGGCTGGCAGCGTGCGGCTCTGCTCTGCGGCTGTCCTGACGCACCTGCGACAGGGAGGCGCTGAGCGCGGCCGGTCGGAAGCGGGGCCGCTTGCTGCTGAGCGCTGCCGGCTGCGGCCGGCCGGGCGTCGCCGGGCCCGGGGTCGGCGTCGGCGCGGCGGCCGGCGCGCCGTCGTCGCTCAGCTCCGAGTCATCGTCGGGCGGCTGCTGCTGCTGCAGGCGGCGCCGCTTGCGCGCCAGACTCTCGTTGAGGCCACGCGCCGGCTGAGGCCGGTCGAGGCCGGCCGGCGCCGGCTCCGGCGCGGCCCGCGGCCAGGCGGACGGGCCGGCCCGCGCGCCGCCGTCGGCGGCGGCCGCGCGAGGCCAGGCGAGCGGCGTCGCCGCCAGCGCGCCGCCGTCGGCGGTGGCCGTGCGGGACCAGACCGCATGCGAGACGAGCGCCGAGCCGCCGCCGCCGCCGCCGGTGTCCGCCATCAGGCGTCCGTCTTCGTCCTCACCCGGCTGGATGCCGCTCACTGCAACGGGCCAGACGGCAGACGCTAAAACGAGCGGCGTCCGGCACTGCCAGCTGCGGAGGCCCTGCACGTCTAAACAGCGGCCCAGTGTTTGGCTTCCATTCGCGGCGCCCCGATAAAACATGACGACACCGTCTTGGCAGACCCACAAAGAAAATAGCGTGTCTCGTGATCCCGACCCATCCCGACCGAAACAGCCATGTTTCGTGCCGGATTTAATCCGCGAGGACGACGTAGCCGTTCTCCCGTCGCCGCCACCGCCACACACAGGCGGCCAAGGGTGCGGTCCTCTCACGCAGACCGACGCAACGGCCCAGTTGGGGGTCAGCTCACCTGGTGGCGGCACCTGTGACCACGGCGGCGCGGCCGCGTTCAGGTGGTTCCGTCGCGTGGCCGCGCTAGAGGGACCGGGCCGCAGCTCGGGCGGCGGCGGCCGCGCCTCCAGCTCCTGCTGCTGCTCCTCCTCCTGCAGCCAGGCTGGCACCCAGGCCTCGGGCAGCAGACGGCTCACCGTACCCGTCAGGCGCCCAAGCAGACTCTGCGTACATGCAGAGGACGGGTGACCGCAGCTCTCAAGGATGCAAGCATGTAACAACGCACCATCACGTCTGGGACAGCTGATGGCAGTTCCCCAGACAGAAAATAAATAAACATCACGAGCAATGGTAGGAGTGGACAATCTCACACTTCTGCTGTGAATTAAATCATTCACACTTTCCAGTTTCAGGAAGCCGGGAAGAAGGAATCTTCCAGCTGCCGCACTGACAATATTCGACACCTATATCTTGAATAAGACCCCGCCACAGGCTACCAATATTTCAATATGTTCCCAACAGTCAGCGTTATAAATTCAGGACTTCAAGCTACCGCGGAAAATTGCCGCGTTTACGAGTTGTTGCCAACACCCACTTCTAATGATCGAAACCACCATTGGTCAAGCATAAATAACAAACTACCCGAACTACAGGTGAGGATTATAAATGTTTACTGGTTAATCCTAGAATATCAATGTCTCTGGGGCTGAATCAAAACACAAAAAAACAAACATAGAACTGGTGTCCTTAATTCCGACATTCATTAATGTTACCTCAAAACATTAATCATGAAAACCACTAAATATGCAAAAATGAGGGTAGCACCAACCAAAATACTGACTGATTACAGCCATCAGAAGAAGTTTGGTCTTGAGGCCACACATGAGGCCACCAGAGGTCAAATTGATAAATATGATCCATCAGAACATATTACACATTGCTGTAACCATGACTCGTGGGGTAGTCCCACAGAAAATCAGATGAGACCTTACATGAATTACTATGCCCTGAAAAAACGGACTCCATACACACTTCACATGAGATGGTGAGACTAAGATACACATGAATGCATAGGAATATGGGGAAAGATGCAGCTGGAAAATGAGCAGATTTTCAACTGTTCCAGTTCAGAGAGATGACAAACAACCTTATTTTCAGAATTGATTTGATTTAAAATACAACATGCCCTCCTGCCACTAGCATATTCACATAATCCAGTACAAATGTATGCTATACCAAAAACAGCCAACCAAAGTGGCCAACAGGAAATTAAGACTATACCTTTAAAGTGATAGGATTGGCCACAACTTAAAAAATATTTTAAGATTAATCTGCAATTCCAAAAGCATGAAGCAATTCTGACAAAAACATTCAAAAAACATCCTGAGGCCTCCAAAACATAAATCTGAGAAATGTTACTGGGTCCATTCCACCAAATGACTGCATGACATGCAGAGCTCATGGCTGATGCTCATGATCCCTTTGGGTGGGATAATTGCGATGATTTGGGCATTAGGGCATGCTGACTGCCATTGCCCTAAGGCACCTAGTCCTCCAGGTGGGCCCTTTTCCCTGTTTTTAAGCCAATAATGCATGACACAAAATATCATGCTCCTTTACATCCCTCTCAGCTTGGTTTTTGGCAGTTTTCAACAGTTCTACAGGCATCAAAATCTGACCACCATTCCTAACACATTTTACATCTTAACTTTTATACTCACATTGATGTCAATCCCATCTTAATTGTTCATGGTCAATAACCTACAGCTTATATATGTGTCAAAGAATTTCCTTAACTGATATGCCATTTCCTCATGCTGTGATACACTACAGTTCCATAAAACAATACTATATATGGTCATCTAAGATCAGCCATGTGGAACATGCCAAGCATTCCAAAATTCACCCAGTTGGATGTCAAGAACATCTACATCATCTACATCTACAATTCATGTTACCTGATATTTCCCCTCTGGCCTGCCACTGTTCCAACATTTTCCTGGCCGCTAATTTATTGCCCTTTGACCCTGAGTGAACACTCTGACCTGCCCTTCTGGTTTGGCAGGCCCAAGGTGCCTAGATGCTGTGTTGACTGCTGTCCAGTTCATTCCTCACCAGCCCATCCAGTGAAAAAGGAGGGACACAAGGGCTCACCCATGGTTGCAAGAGCAAGAGAAAATATTGTCATTCCTGCACGCAGATGGTTTAATATTTCCACATTGCCCATTGCCAACTGGGCAAATTTTAACCCACGAAATTTAGAAATTTAGGTTGCAGGGACACCTTGCATATTGTATCATAGCACATAGCATGAGGAAAAGTGGCTGCTGGTGTGCAGGGTAACATGCGCCAGTGTTGCCACCTAGGTATATGATAAATCATGCATGGAAATGTGAAAATTGAGATGTGTGAATGTTGAATTAAACCTCCTTTGAAAAATACTGGGAAATGAGAAACGAGTAGCAGAATCGCACCGGTCTGTAGATTAACAAAGCTCTCACTTCCTACGCCCTACGCAGACCAACCCAAATTTGAACGTAACCTACCACTGACGACGCACCGCATTAATTGCCACGGATGCAATGCATGGTCATAGAAAACCACACAACCAAGCGCCTACCACAGACGGCCGCCTACTCATGCAACACCACCGTGTCATGGCAATGCAAATCAGAGGATCACTCGCAATTCAGCGTCGGAAACGTTTCAACCATTCAGCGGCTTGCGCCCGCCCCCCATGTGAGGTTGGAGGTTGAACAAAGCAAAACTCTCCAATTGATTTTAATACTTCCGCGTCCTCGTGACTGATTTGTCAAGAGTATAAATAATCTGCTCGTGCACATGCCTTGAAAAGACTGGTTAACATTTGGAGGGAGGTTGTATAGAGATGGGCATCACGATTATGAAGGACTGTAATCATTCAGAGCCGCCATGTGGTTGGATTTTTGGCCACTTCCTGATATCCGGAGTACAAAAATGTAATGGCAGCTGGGGATTTAAATCAAGTTAAATTTGTCACTTAAGGGTGTGAAATCAAAGCCAGCATTCCAAGTTTTACAAAAAGGTACTTTTAAGTCGAAAAACGTCGTTATAAATGGCCAAAAAACTGTTCGGAGACGGCCATCTCACTCCGGCGAAAACACCAGGACACCAGAGTAAGATGAACCCATAACTTTGACATAGCAAATTAAGGAGAAGGGCTTATTAGGACAAAAACAGAAATGAACTGTAACATAAATTGTCATATTTCGCAATGATATGGGTTACAGCGCATCGAAATCCATAAACGGAGTTAGCGGAGTGACTGACTCTGATCCCTTTTGGCCGGCCTGGACGGGTCTGTCAGGCATTGCACTCGCGCTAGCTCGGTTAACCGGTTGGGAGTGCTGCCTGTCTATATTATTCGGTTGAGACATGCGGGCCTCGTGTGGTGTCGGGCGGTGGAGGGCATGAATGTTTAGCTGTTTCTAAAACCATTTAGCTGATGGAGCGTGAGTAGCGTGACCCTGGCGGAGCTTGAGTAGCGTGATCATGGCAGAGCATAAGTAGGCGGCCGCCTGTGGAGCGTTCATTTGAATTTGTTGAGTACCATTTTTCTCTGGCTGTGTGTATCGTAGCCACCCTCCATGTTGGAGGGTGCATCAGCCCGGTGCGTAGCCATCCTCCATTTCGGAGGGTGTTAAAGCCCTGTGCGTAACCACCCGCCGTTTTGGACGGTGGTTACCATGCACAGCCTGGCATAAATTGCAACTCCATATATATGCACCTGTGTTTCATAGCACAGAGCTAAAAGGACCGCGTTGTTTCCGTTTACCATGTTTAACACCGATGTTTTCTTTCATTCAAAGTGCTTTTACATGAACTGATGTACAAAGAAGTGGCCCTTTTGATGATGATTCAGGCTTTGGGGCGCACCTACTGCATTGAAAGTGGCCCTTTTGTTGTGTACCTCTCATAGTACTGTTATCTCTTAATGATCATCTAAGCATAATTGTAATAACCCCCAACACTCAGATATTTTTGTACTCCATGATAGAAAATTTGTACTATGCTACCAGGATTTTTTTTTAAAAATCCAACACTTCTAACAGCTTTCTAGTTAAACTTTTATGTTCTTGTTGACCAGTTAACAGTACAATAATGGCAAAGTGCATCGCATACTGCTTGCTGAACTCAATATCTGACCAGATCCGATGAAGCTCAAAGATAAACCATATCTGACCAGATTCAAGCGAGTTTAAAAACAAACCAAGAAGTCTACATTATGTACAAAATTATTGGAATGAACTGTAATAATTTCATGAAAAGCATCACAATAACCCAACTTGCATGTTTGGGATAATTGATGCTGTAAACTTTGCAAAAGCATGGCAGGGGCTTGTGGCAACAACATGCATCAAACTCCCACAAAAAACCCTTGGCTATCCCTCTTGCAAACTCTATGCATGTTCAACACAAACCTTAATGACATGATTTATGTTTCATCATGGCTGGAAATGAATGTGGATCTGTTTTTTCACCAAATAAAAAACTGTGCACCATATTTTCCAGTGAAGTTTTGATTTGTCACATGCCAGTAACAGCATACCTTGGTCAACAATTGAGACCCAACTGGCAGCTGTTATATCTGGGGATCATGCTCATAACTGCCAGATGTAAATGCCCTAACAATATTTCCTTTCTCATCCATTGCTGCACAGGCCATGGGATGACAGGATTTGAATGAATTATTAAGATGTTCTGAATGCCAGAGACTTTTAAATATTCTCCCTGATATGCCTTTTCCCATTCTTGTGGGTGTATACTGCATGGCTCAGAAACTAGAAAGGCTTAGGTCATAAGAACAGGAGGATTGTGAACAGTACTGAAAGGTCTTATACCCTCTTTACATTGCAGCCCTCATTAGTTGCCCATGTCTGATATTTGACTGATTCTGGTGCTTTTGACCACAAGACATTTTCCTCCCCACAACCTTACACTGGACAGAATGTTAAAACCGGTACCCTGCGTACAACATGAGATGGTAACGAGCCTGTCCCAAAACTTTGACGGTGTGTGTGTGCCATTTACCATGACTAATTGAAGGATGCTGCTTGCAGATTTCAGCCAAAACCTTTTAGCAAATCACACACACCTGCAACCTTCCCTTTCTATGTACTCAGTGTCTAGGTCCAATCCTGCTAGCTAGCACATGTTTAACCTACCTACCATCTATCAACCACACTAACATGCTCAGGCACCCAACTCTGAGCTTTCCCACTGAAAACAACAATGACCTCTCAGGGGGAACAGAGAAGACAAAATTGTGTGGAGAATTAGCCCCCCATGCTGTGATGATAATACACTACCCTACACCGTTGCTTGGATACCCAGAATCAATTCCTCTAAAGCCTCTGGCTCCTGTGGAGGACTTAGTATTGAAGAAAAGGCAGGTTCTCCACCAAGAAATTGAACCTGCAAATGGGATGAAAACACATAAGTAGCAATAGATTAAAGCCTGCTATTTCTAAATCTGTCCACAGTGTTGCCACTGAACCATGTGGGTGTAAACCTAATGCATAGCTTCTTCCTCTTTTCTGGGGATGCCTATAAGTTTTGTATTGAAATAATTTGTTTTTTCAAAGCTTAACTTTGATTTCAGCCGGGTTTTCACCATTCATAACTTCTAGAAAATGATCAAAATCCTAGAAAGGTAATATCAAAACTGATCAATGAGAGCCCCTCTGATGTTTAAGACTGCTCCTCCATCGGCACCACTTCTTAAGTATTCTGAGTCTCCAATGTTAATTTAAAGCCCTGTGCACAGTGCTATAGCATGCTGGGTACAAGAGCTGTGTCAATCAGTGATGGTGGGATTTGTTGAGAATGTAAATAAAGACAATCTATGAAGCCAGTTCAGTGTCACCCACTGAGATAATCCTTGCATTAGGCTTGACATTGGTGACTAGATGTAGCACATGCCATATATGCAGAACTGGTTTGCTTCATAAGGAGGAAGTAATCCCTCTGACCCTGCCACAATGATCTCTAGGACCCACCCACACAGCAGCCTGATGTCCCAGATGGTGTAGTTTTGTACAAAGCTTGGAGTTAGGGTGTGCAGAGAAAATTGTTAAACCCAAATATATATGACAAACTATGTTCTCTCCCTGATCTGACCACATGTTTTCTCAAAGGTAGGGGGTGGGGTGGGGCTGGGTGGGGCTAGAGACCCCTCCCACTGAAAAGGAAACATTACCCCTGGTCAGAGATTGAATATATCTAGGTCAGTAAATATCCAGGTGGGTGTCAATCTGTGCCAATATCTGATGTGAAAATGATTTTACCTTGGCTGGTAGGTAGCTGGTGTACTATGCACCAGATGGTCCTTTATATATAACAGTGGCTCACATGATAATTCAATCATAAATTAGTTTTCATGTGCCCTGAGGAACTAAGCAACAGGTGCACAACATTTTGAGCATCAGTTTTCATCACCCTTAATTGATTCACAGCTTTGGAACACAATTTTTTATATAAACAACTTTTTATTCACTCCACAGCTTCAAAAAATACACTGAGTCTAAGCATACACCAAGCAAATTTTTTCCCCACTCAAAACCATATTTCAGATACTGTTAGTTGTCATTACCATGTTGAGCAGGTGATACAAAAGTGAGAGAATTAAAAACTACCCAATTTAAGACCAGATATGATGCAGAAACAGATGGCAGGAAATTACTAAATGTACAAATACTTATACAGATCAAAAGTGAAAATTATATGATGACCCCTGCCCTAGTAGGAAGGCATGCAATAATAACCAACAACCTGTCATTGTACCTACTTACTTAGGGTAAGGCAAAGATGCAATACATTATAGTAATAACCTTTCCCTGAAAGGTGACTATTCAATCAAAACACATCATATTACTTTCAGTCAGACATTCCTCCACATTAACACTACAAAAATTGATAGCAAACAATGAAAAACTGAACAAGTGACACACCACATTTTAACACTGTACCTTGCGCTATAGTTACGAATAAATGGCAGGACTATGTAAGATCAATTAAGCAGCTTCTAGCACCGTCAGATGCTGACATGGTACTATTGCTAACAACCACCTGCCAGTTTCTGCCCTGCACTACACGGTCCTTCGCACCATCATTACCTTCTGCTGGCTGTAAGACAGTGTAAAGATGTGCTTATATTATTGTGTGTGCTAATGATCATATACTGACAGATGATTCAAATATCGCGAGCTCCGCTTCCGGATGCATTCAGCACGCCTGAATACATAACTGGCGCACCGCGTGGCATCTTGGCACCTACCCGTCGGCGTTCGTATGGCTTGTTCCGATGAGACAGCTTGTCCCGCGCCTTTCCTCCGCCCTGGGACGTCATCACGATCAATTTCTTTAGCAAAATGGTAAGACACAACCACTGGGCTAATTTCGGGTCGCCCAACCGCCCTCCCGCGCTTGCAACCAACGTTACACTCCCGCAGAGAAAGATGGCGCTGGAAATTTTGTAATTCGGTCTCTAATTGGTTGAACCATACAGCGTGACCATTTGTAAAAAACTTTTTTGACAGGTTATGGAGTTTCAACGTTCGGCATGACCATGGAAAATAAATATTTCAAAATTCGCAGAAATCATCGGAGCTCTTCAAGGATGCCTATTATATTATTTAAGTATAATATTTTGCGTGGTTATTCTGGTGCAGCCTCTGCTGCAAACAAGTGAAAACTATGCAAAACATTAAAGCTACCAGATAGGGTGACATTTCGTCAAAATACAAATTTTTGATGCGTGTGTGAGCGGTCTGATGGATTCAGAAGCTGTCGCTTTCCAGACGAGAATCTTGCGTAACTATTGAAAAGACTAAAAAAACTCACGAGCTGAGTGACCGAGGGGATTGCCGATTACCTCTGTAAGGTCAGATAAGGCGAGAACGGACCGAACTGAGCTAGTGGGCTGGTCCTGTTTATTCAGCCGGTTCTACCCTGCCAGGAACAACGACCGGACCGAGCAGAGCGAGGCAATAAAAGATAAGAGATGAAGGGACAGAAGTCAGACCAAACTAGATGGAAACAGAGAGAGACGTTTTGTACCAAAACACAAAAACAAAAGGGACAAGACAGGAAGACTGTTACATCACGCACCACTTGCAGACAAGTTAGGGTCCGTCTATGTTATCCACGTGTTGTATGGGGAAGGCTTTGATGGAGCGCAACGAAAGTGAAACGGGAGGGGGGGGGGGCAACGAAAAGGTTCCAGACAGGGCAGCGACTATTCCATGTCACAAACAGCCACGAACAGGCATGATGTTACGCTAACAATGATGGTGCAGAGTCGAATATCATAACCCTTACACCCCCATCACCATTACGGGTTTATGCTATTGTTGTTATTGTTAGGTTATTGGTATTGTTTTGGTATTGGTGTTGGTATTGTTTATTGGTATTGTATTGTTAAACATGGACCGAGCCGGAAAGTTACCGGAAAGCCTCTCATCGATCAACTCACTCGACGACCGTCTTGCACTGCGAGCACATCTCGTGCCTCGCTCAAACTTGGAGAGACATATATTGGATCCGACAGATATCCGGCGTGACCTGAGCGTGAGTGAGAGTGAGAGTGACGAAGACCGAAGTGACATCAGACTTTTTCACGGCGAATAAACCTTAAACAATAATGGTTCAGACCGAGACAGGCAAGCAAAGACTGTTGACGTCACTGTCACCGTGGGCTCCCGGGCTATCGTCCACACACCCGCTCCTGGTCACCGCCGTACCGATGCCGTCCTGCCGCCGCCCGCCGCCGCCTCCCGACAGCCGCCGCCGTCGCACGGCCGCTGGCGTCGCGAACGCCGGCTCTGACGCGTGGACCTCAACTCCTAACCTACAACTGTATCTGCCAAGTCACCCCGCCTGGTGTATGACCTTTTCAGCCATCAACCTGTCCAGATATGAACGTGGTGGACTGCGGCAGGCTGGAGTTCTGCGTGGCGACCCGACGATTGGCGCGACGCAACAACAAACGGAGCGTTAAGTAGGTCGAGATCGTGGAGGATATCGCTAAGGATATTGGGGCATCCGGATGTGCTTTCTCTTTGTGGGAGTTGACATGACGAATGTTCCTGGTTGATACATGAGAAACAAAATAAGGCAATGACGCAAGGAAGCACGCAGGACTCTATCATAGAGAAACTTGTCAGATTTTGCAATGGGGGCATCTATGGGGGCATCATTTTTCTCTAAACCCCATTTTAACGCGCCGCAGGAGCGTGAAACTTGCTGCGTGGCATAAACTAACATTGCATTGTTTTGATCTATGTATATGTATGCGTCAACCCTGCCTTTTTAATGCCAACATTTTTTCGCGGGTAGATTCAGACATGCGATACCTTTGAGAAGGGGAGGGGGCGCACGGTATGGACGCGAGAGGTGTGCGCTGCCATAGAGGTGGATGCAGAGGCAGGATGTTGACGGGCGTGCGCAGCGCCCCCGTCGGCGATAGAGGTGGCGCCTCCTCCAGGGCGGACGTCCGCGGATGTCGCGGGCGCCATGTCGACGGGCGGTGTGGCAGGTCCAGCGTTAGCTGCTGACCGCCCAGGCGGTAGCGCAGGCGGAGGGAGGGCACGGGAGACACGTGCCCCCCCCCCCCCCCCCCCTCTTGGTTCCAAGGGGCCATTCGGAACATACGGGACCTTCGATTAAGGGCCCAATTTAAGGGCCTGAAAGGCCTGAAAGGCCGGCCGGAAGTCGTATTCAGGAGCCACGGCCTGCAGCACCAGGCACTCTTATGCCAGTCAGAGGGCCTGCGCGCTGACCAGCGCCCCCTGAATCGACAAGAGCCTAAATGTCGTTCAGACACCACCAGTAGCATACGCTCAGCACCGTGGTGGCATGGGTCTCGAAACGCCTATCCCAAGCAGGGACAAGGCCGGAGCCAGCGATTTACTTTGGTCAGGACCCCAGCGTCTGCCAGCGCCCCACAGCGTCTAACGAGGGCCCTGTGTTGGCAAGGGTCCCTAGTCGGCCAGAGGCAGTGTTCAAGGAGGCCCGAAGAGCCTGGAGGGCCCACCGGATCCGACGATCAAGGGCCCAATCGGAGGGCCCAAGGGCACAAAAGGCTCGTCGGAGTTTTACTCAGGGGCCCCGGTCTCCGGGGACAGAAACCCAAGTGACAATCAGGGGCCTCTCGCGCCGCTCGGGACCCTCCACGTCGATACCGGCCTTTATGGTGGCCAGGCGCCGCCAGTACCGCACAGTCTGCTCCGTGTCGGTGTCGGCGTGAGAGCTCACTTCCCAATTTTCTCTATTATTATATCTATATTTTCTCTATTATTTTCTCTATTATCATATCTATATATATTATTATCTATTATTATTATTAAGGAGCGGTGTGCGTGTGTCCTCCGATTAAGCCATCTCGCACCAACATGTCGACAACGGTGGGTCGCAGCGACACGGCAATGGTGGCGTGCCATACGAAATGGTACGGTCTCACGTATGACGTAGCACGGGCTCACATATACATTTTACTCTCTTCCATGGGCTTGCACGTTTTGCGCCATATCTCGGCACCCGTGGCACCAACACACTGAGGGTTGGCCCGCTTCGATGATGAATGGAAGGGGCGAGATGATAATGTGTGGTGACACGTGCCACATATCATGGCGCCCACGTGCTAAATTATGGATTTACACGTTTTTGCGCTTTTGATAGGCTTACACGTTTTTGTGATATATCAGAAACCGGGGAATAAAGTTCGACAAGACTGGCATGCTCCAATAAGCGATCTAACGGACAATCACTCAAATGTGCACGATGTGGTGGTGGACATGTCATGTGACACGTGCACATTAGCTGTGAAGATGTATTTTGCCGATTTCGTCCATTTTTACGCTTTACGCGAGATTTTCGCTCTTATGGCACGCAGTAACACGGAACTGACATGCTGCGCTAGACCATTAAACGGGAAATTCAATGGCGTCACAAGTGCGGGGCAGCACGTTGCCCGCGTCGGACATACACCAGCGAGAAAGATGGCTTTTGCTCTTTTCCACGGGTTTACACTCTGTGCCACATCTCGGCACCCAGGGCACGGGGCCACTGGGAAGTGGCATGCATTGATCAGAAATCGAGCAGACAATGACGTTGCATGAACTGTGATGTCGCACGTGCTGCGTGTAACGCGTGCACGAGCCAGCAAGATAGATTTGGCCGTTACCGGCCGTTTTTCACGTTCCGCGCCACATCTCGGCAACCAGGGCACCTAAAACCGTGATAATGGAGGGATTTTACTCAGAACGATTATTTTGCTCTTTTCCGCAGTTTTACACGTTCTGTGCTACATCTCTACATCCGGGGCACGGAGCGCCCTCGGTAGTAGCATGAACTGATGGGGAGTCGAACGGACAACCACGTGGCGTAGATTGTGACGTCACGTGTGCGGGAGCCAGGAAAACTGATTTGGCCACTATCGACCGTTTTTCACTGCTCTATACAATACAATGCTGTTTAATACAACGACAGTGCGTGCTGCCATCATTCAAAAGGCTGACAGTGGATGAAAGGGACAAAATCACCGGTCATGTCCCATGATCAATCATCTGTCCCATGGAGTAGGTTTGTCTGTGTTGCAGCGGGCGCAGGCACGATGCGTTCTCTCCTGCCGGCAGCCGCGAGAGGGCGCCAGCGCCGCGCGCAGCCCGTGGCCAAGTCTTTTTCACGTTTTGCGCCACATTCGGCAACCAGGGCACCTAGAACCGTGATTCCAACTACGTAAGATAGAAAATTCCAAATTTCAAAATTTTTCACCAGCGCAGCGGAGCAAGCATGCAAGCGCTTGTCAGCTTCACAGCTGGGTCAGTGATTTACACTGGCCGGAGCCCCCATATCTGTCCCGGGCTCACAGCGCCTGACAGAGAGTTCTGTGCTCGCACAAAGCTCCTAGGCGACCAAGGGCAGTGGTCGATGAGGCCTGAAGGGGAGCCAGGGCAGCCCAACAGAGAGTTCTGTGCTCGCACGAAGCCCCTAGCCGACCAAGGGTAGTGGTCGATGAGGCCCGAAGGGGAGCCAGGGCAGCCCAACAGAGAGTTCTGTGCTCGCACGAAGCCCCTAGCCGACCAAGGGCAGTGGTCGATGAGGCCTGAAGGGGAGCCAGGGCAGCCCAACAGAGAGTTCTGGGCTCGCACGAAGCCCCTAGCCTACCAAGGGCAGTGGTCGATGGGGCCCGAAGGGGAGCCAGGGCAGCCCAACAGAGAGTTCTGTGCTCGCACGAAGCCCCTAGCCGACCAAGGGCAGTGGTCGATGAGGCCTGAAGGGGAGCCAGGGCAGCCCAACAGAGAGTTCTGTGCCCGCACGAAGTCCCTAGCCGACCAAGGGCAGTGGTCGATGAGGCCTGAAGGGGAGCCAGGGCAGCCCAACAGAGAGTTCTGTGCTCGCACGAAGCCCCTAGCCG